TAAACTCTAAATTTGAAATTCTTAGTAACTTTTGAACTCATATATAGTTCCAAATTCATAATTAAGAATCGGGACATAAATCACTGCATAAGACATCCATATCATCCGAGTAAAACGAGTGTGTGAGTACGCAACAAGACAACATTACTGCGAGAACAAATACATGTTTCTTAAAAATGTACGAAAAAAAAGTATTTTGCATTTATGATAAAATTTATAGATAAACAAATTTCCAAAATAGTTCATTGTATGTTCGATTATAAATTGTACTGTGTCATTTGTTAAAAGGGAATGCCAATTCAAAATACCATACCATTTCCTGGCAAAATCTTTTAAACCAATTTAAAAATATATACTTATAGTAGTTCTATCCATTTTATTGATAAATAATTTTTAGGTGATCATTGAATTTGTGAAGTGTACTTGTCATATTCTAAAAACATAGAAACATTTTACCGTCTATATTGGTTTTTTTCCAAAGCAATACAGGTAATCACGACCTTGTTCAACGCCAAAGTATAAGTATTGACAAGACATATTTAGTTTGAATATATAGTATACATAATTTGCAACCAGCAAACCAAACTTGATAATTACTTCGTGAGCAGATAATGAAAATTGATGATAGGTAAATGAATGGCTACGCAACGTGCAGTGGTAAGTTACATTCGAATTCAGGACGAGAACATGTTACTATGATATGAATAGGAACCCTGCTTTGTACTACACCGACACGCTGAGCCGGATTTTTTAACGTGCTAGGTCACACATGTCACAAGGTTAGTCCGGAAGAATCTGATCGACCTACCCGGAAACATTATTCTGACTCCGGGCGACAGTCTTCCCTTTATCTCATAAATGCCGCGTACAATAATAATTTTGTTCTTACCCGGCCAATGAACAGAACCACGACCTCCCGCACTATAAGCGTGCACGCTACCACGAGACCAACGAGGCGATTATGGAAATTTAAGATACAAATACATGTATATTCAAACCATATGAAACAAAAATAAGTGTCCATAAGACATCGTGCTCCCCCCTTTCCCCCTCAAAGTATCACATTTCCATGTTCATTTAACCACTTAATCCAAATTAAACCCTAATTTGTTGTATAATTCTAAATACAAGTTGAATATGGCACGAGACGGACGAACAAACGGATTCACAGGCCAGAAAATATAATATTTACTTGCTAGCATGAATTAGGCATTAAACTAAAAGATTCTACTTAACAAAACTGCTGACAAATATTCCATATATGTCCTTTTTTCAGAGGTAATTGTTTCAAAGGAAAGAATTTCATAAAACCAATTTGTGAGCAATGACGTAAATTGCACATAAAGACACTTCATAGTACACATGTATCATATAATGTATTTTATATAATTAAAGAAAAGAAGAAGTAAAGTAACAACTGATTGGATAAAGTGTAATGTTGTTTTTTGGGTTTTTTTTAATATGCATCCTTATAAAGTTCTACGGAAAGATGACAAAGTAATTGCTGATAAATGTATCTGAATTTCTTCTTCTGATACACCTTTTAGTTTCGGATGTGTTTGAAACTCCTGGTTTAACCTTACAACTTAAAAGTCAAAAATAAGAATATCATCTCGCTTCACAATTCGTTATTTTTATTTTTTTATACCTAATTTCGACTAAGTAGCTTTTAAAATTCATCCTTTGAGAAGAACTCATGCTGCGTTCACACGTAATTCGAATTCGATTCGCATTAACTAAATCGAATTAGTTTAATTCGCATTCGAAACGTTTTTCGTCCGAACGTAAATTGAAATACGAATTGCAATGCGCGTCAAATTCGTTTTCCTGTCCGAACGAAGTTAGCTTTTAAATCGCATTATCAATTAATTAATTGTAAAAAAAAAACCGCTCAACACTTCATAAGACAGAATGTCTCCATTAACGACCAAGTGTTATCCCTTGTAAATTATTATCGGACATTTCGGACTTGTCGGCATATACGCATATGACGTCAATATGAATATGACGTCATGACCAACATGACGTCATTATGGTTTTTGCCTTAGTTATTTTCGCGGACACGAATTATTAGTGTTAAGTGTTTTATTTTAAAAAATCAAGAAATAATGATAATATTCTTTTAATTTGTCCGTCCAAGCACTTGTTCGAATTACAATTTAGAAAGTGTCTACACCACAGTCAATTCGAATTGAAGCGAATTAACTAATTCGCATTAACGAACACGCATTTCAAATGCGAATTGGATGATGCGAATTAGCCAATTCGAATTCGATACGAATTAAAAAAAGAAGACTGTCTGAACGCGATTAGCGAATTCGATTCGCATTCGATTCGAATTAAATGTACGTGTGAACGAGGCATAAATATATGGGTCAAGTGGAATGACCAAGTAATAATGGTGCATTTGAATACACGTACATTGTAGCTGGATTAATTATTCCCTCAAAAGGTTGTTGCCAAAACAAATCCTCTTGCATGCAATAACAACATATGTAAAGATTTAAAAGATTTAACAAGGCAGTTTGGGCTAATATTAATATTTATTCGATTCCAACACAATATGTGTATTCAACTAACAAAATATTCATGCAGTATATGCTTCCCTCCGTCAAGCTTCAATGCAATAGACTTGGATACGTTCAGATAAGTTGGTAATGTAGAGTAATATCATTTTATTGGAAATCTCTAGTAAGTTATATAAGGACCCGACATGACAAATTTAATACAAATCAAACGAGAAAACTAACGGCCTGATTTATGTACAAAACAATAAACCAAAAAAAAAACAAATATGAAATGATAGTTTGTTTATACTTGAATTTTTAAGATTTTCAGAGCACAGATTGTATGTTAAACAAGGTTATTGATTAGATTCCTGTTGACTTTTTTAATTGCGCTTTTCCGTTGTTAGTACTATTGTTTGTCGTTTGGTCTTATTTTTTAATGTGTTCATGCTGAGGTCAGTTCCGTTCCATTTATGTTTTATTCACATTCATTTATAATTTTATCACCGATGCATAACAGTAATTTAATATAAAAAGAAGGAGATGTGATATGAATGTCAATGAAAACAACTCAAGGTCAGCGTACGATCTTTAACAATCAGCAAAACCCTACAGTATAGTTTGCAATACATGTGAAAGGTCCTGCCATGACAAGATGTGAAACAATTCAAAAGAGAAAATCAACGACCAGAAATAAGCTAAAGTAAATAAACGAAAAACATTTATTGAAGACAGTAACAAACGACAACCGCTGGCCTACAGTCTCCCTTTTTTTTAGCCATAGCGTTGTCAGTTTATTTTCGACTTACGAATGTCCCTTTTGGTATCTTTTGCCTCTCTCCTTACTTTGAAAAGATATAGAAAGAATATGACAAGGTTCACCAGGTTTGGAAGCGCATAAATTAGACATCCTTATAGAAAAAAACACGTCTAATCATGCTGTATAAGATTATATTGATGGATTGTTGGTTGGTAAACATCCAGTGGCAAATATTTCATGCATGTTTAGGACGAGAACAAATTAACAATTAATACAATAGGTAGGTCCGGTAATATAGGTCAACTGGGTAGCAGGTCGGGAAAATTTGGACTGCCACGGGTAAATGAGGGTATATTGGATAGGAACAAAAATTAAGCCTTGTAACGGGTCACCTATGGACCCCTCAAAGAGTTTTTGCAAGGGTTCTTAACGTGCAGAAAGCGTGACACTCTCTCCACAGGAGGCTTCGGATTTAACGTCCCCATTTTGACCGGACGTGGCTGCGTACTTGATACATCCCGCACAGCCAAACGGAAGCCCCACTTTGGCAAGGGTTTTACTGCAGGTCAGAGTGACCATATTTCCCTTGGGGATATATATGGTTAGCAACCAAAACGTAAACATCGGAGCAATCACAGAATATTGGCCAAAACTCTTTCAGACCCCAGCATGTAACATCACTACAAAGAAAGAATCGTACTATAACCACAAATCATTAGGGATTGGAGCGCCTTATACAAATCAGTGATATTTGTCAGTAATTTTGAATCCTTTAAAAGTGAGGGTCAACAAATCACTCTTTAGTCTTCTATTTTGTAACCCTCAATATTAAATATATGTATATCCCTTTTATTTTATCGTTCCTTTTTCAAAATTATCCATGCGCAAACCCAAAAGTAACAGAATAGTCAACCTGGTTACAGTGGTCACTCGATCAGTGGTAGAAGTAGAAGTACGTTCTTTATCTTTGTTATTAGTGATGTGTTCACATTTGTATTGTACTCTTTGTCATATATATTCTGTTTGTTTAATTTTTAATATTGTCTCTAATATATATATATATACTCTACTCGTGCTTTTGAAGGTGTACTTGATAGAAGTTTAATTGGCATCAAAGTCTGAATATATATTTACTTTGATTATATAATTTCATATATTAATATTAAAAGTAAAGACAAGGATCAAAACTATAAAAACATATGCGATGTATTTTATTAATTTGGCCAACCGACTGTACATTAAAAACACCAAGTGATTGTACAATTACCATTTAATCAATTGCACAGTCAAAACAATTTTAAGAAAAATGATAGATATATTTGAACTTCTACTAGGACAATGGCTATTAAACGTTCAAAAAGGTAAGACTTTATACCAGAAAAGGTTCAAATGTTATAATAGTTAAAGCAATTATTCGGTTTTCTATGTTTTTGGCAGTTGTTATCGCTGCTGTGTGATCGATTTACTCGGAGCTTCGCTATTCTAAGAAACATAGTTTGTTGTTTATGTCGCTTTTATTATTTGATTGCTCTATATATACATGTAAAATGTTTTCGTTACCAAATATTGAAGTTGAAGCATGCACTTTTTTAAAGTAGCATGTTTATGAATCAAGCTTTACAAGAGGTAAGTATATATAAATGTATAATGATGACAATGATTATGAGACAAGTAAATGTTAAGTCAGAAATAAATGTATCGAATTAATTAAAGAAAAAAAACAATATACATACACAGAATTGGCAGTAAACATGTTATCAATATGCACACGTAGAAAAATATTCCACACTGAACACACCATCTCATCATATTTTAGAATATATGTCATTGCTTCCTATACGTAGCCATTGTTTGCGTATGTTTGTAAATAGATAGTTATGACGTGAAATGAATCCTAATTGTTAGAATTATCTAATTAAAATTCATAATGTGAATTAGGTTCACTAATATAATATGAAGTGTTCATTTATTAAAATACAAAATGAATCACTTACGATTGCAAGATACAGACGAAATTTTTGGATAAAAACATATAGTGTCTTTTTTACTATTATGAACTTTCCGCATATATAACGCAATGTTAAACAGACATTGTATAAAGAGGAAAATTCATCACAGTTGATCGTTTTGATATTAAACACACTCACTTGTATGTAGCTTTAGTGTTTCTTGATAACATCTTGATGAAAGTTGATGCTGATTATCAAAAGATTGAACTAAGAATGTCTAATCTCAAGAAATATTGACGGTAGCAGTCACAATCTTCCTGACTGGACAGAATTACCATGCATCTATAATTCATCATTCTCGTTGTCTCGTTTGAAACTTTTTTAACAATTTATCTACTTTGTGTTATAGTTGACAACGGATGCTACATTATAGACACCGGAGACCAAGGAGTAAAATGATTTTCAGTTCATTTTTTTCTGTGTAGATTTTTGTAGGTTTTTATTTTAAAAAGTAACAGTATGGACTGATGCCGACACTTTGCCGGTTCTTTATCGGTTCAAAATCTTTGGTATTTTAAATTAAGTTAGACATACTTAGGTTTGTTATAAATCATGTCAGTATCAAAGTACTGACTACCGAGCTGATAATACCCTCGGGGACTGATAGGCCACCAGCAGTGGTATCGACTGTAAAAACTGCAAGTTATAAATTTCATGCTTCCGAAGCGCTTATCATATAATCATACTTTTGTTTTCTATGTTTTATTAATCTCTCGATCGGCAGATTCGTCGTCTGGTGCTGCGTCGCTATCTTCACTTGCATTATTAGAAAGATGAGCGACGGCTCTATCCTTTTCCCATCTTTTCTTTGAATTGTCTTTAAACCTTTAGGTGATATATGCTGTATACAATCTGTTTTCATTAGTCACCAGAACGCTAAACTGCGACAAGCAGATCTGAAATTGGCTTTTCCCGATGACTGTTTTTGTTGGCAGACAAAATGTATACAAATCAGTATCCTATATGATATGACTCCATATACACGACAGCAAACGCTCGTAAACATGCAAATATAAAGTGAAATTGCTGGAAATTCAATCGACTTTTAACGAAATACTTTGTTATAAATAGGCAAATTAAAATGATATAAAGCATTCAGGAAGCAGTTGAGACACCCAAAACACAAATGATCTGCCATTACTGATATTTATGCAGGCTTAGTGTATAGTCTACGTCAGCTGTTCAGGACACACTGGAGACACCCACCGAACAAATTATCTGCCATTAGTGATTTCTATGGAGGCCTAGTGTATCGTCTACGTCAAATGTTCAGGACACAGTGGAGACACCCAATGAACAAATTATCTGCCATTACTGATATTTGCAGGTTTATTGTATCGTCTACGTCATCTGTTTATGACACAGCGGAGACACCCAACGAACAAATGATCTGCCGTTACTGATATTAATGAAGGCTTACTTTATCGTTTACGTCATCTCCTAATTGAAGTATCATATCATCTATAGGTTGCACTTTATAAATACAGCTGTTTCACAAACCACGCCTCTTTTGGGGAAATATATAATATTCATAGATATTTTGTTTCTTACATACGGTAAGATGTGGACTGGAGACAGATGCAGGACTGGATACTGTATATGATCTTGAATGTTGGAATAAATAACTACTAAACTTTACATTTATAGTATTCTGAAATGCTTTCAATTTGTTATCAGAACAGTTTTAAACAGGTTCTAGACATTACATGTCAGAAAACATGCACATAGGTTAAGCTGACAATAGTTAAAGTCTTGTTTTCAATTTCTTTAAAAATTGAAACAGGGGTAGAGGGTATAAAATGTACTGTAAAAGAAAAGTTACAGTATATGCAGTGATTTCTTATGGACTAACATTCTGATAAATAACTATTGTTTAGCGAAAAAGTGTTTTTCAAGATTTTTCTATTTGAATAAATGTTAGTATAGGTTGCACTTTGTAAAAACAACTGTTTCACAAACAATGCCTCTTTAGGGGAAATATATATTATTCAAAGATATTTTGTTTGCTTAAATACTGGTTCCCAGATATGATATCTATATTTCATCTCATAGAGACATAACTTGGGAATGTTACCAGTATATTTACACATGGTTGCAGGGAATTATGAATTCTGAGGGTCACCTAAAGTGAAGGTAGAGGTGATACAGAACTTACGTATTAGTGTAAACTCTTAGAAGTTCGGAGCATATCAATGTTGAAAATATGCCGCACAGCCCTATGTTTTGAACTTTAAATAGAATAGTAGTGCATAACAACTTTCCATCCTAGGATATAATTTTTCACGAAAATTCATAGTAAAGGTGGCACAGTTTTAGCCGCAAAGGGAGTTCCTATGGAAAATTGCATTGTCTATATTTACAGAAATGCAACTTATATGCTATCTACTTTACACGTTCCTGTTTCCGTGAAAAAACGGGCTTACAATTTACACAAAATCCCCTCTTTTTTAACAAACGACAATTTGAAAATTGGTTAATTCTCAGTTACTAAACAGAGGCAATAAATTATCGATTGATTAAAACTATTTTATACAGTAGTTAGAATGTTAACTAAATAAATGTTTCACAATTGTTTGTGTTCAATGTACACCTTGAGATGATCCCTTCTCAAAAGGTTACTAGTACCTGTCGTCCTAGGCATAGGTATTAAAAGTAAAATACCAAAATACCGAACTCCAAGGAAAATTCAAAACGGAAAGTCCCTTATCAAATGGCAAAATAGCGGTACAGCAGTCAACATTGTGTTATAATCTTAATCACTTTAAAAACAAAAAAATATGTCAACAAAGAAAAACAAAATGGTATATAGACAAAGCACATAAACAAAAATAAAGACAAGAATACAAAAAATGACAATAGCACAGGTGTTACCGTAGGTATCGATAATGTTTCGAAGATGTCTAATAGGGATAATTTTAACCTAAGATGTCTATATCTTTTGTGCATAACTATGTAGAAATGTTCGTAGCTTCAAATTGTTTTAATGTGATATGTTTTTGCTGTGTTTTGTTTATCTTTTCGTCATTTTTCGTTTATTGCAATGGCGTTGTCAGCTTTTTTTCGGCTTATGAGTTTGACTATCCCTTTAGCATATTTTGCATCTCTTTTAAAATTACTGAATATCGAATGCGTCATTCATTCATTATTATAGATTAGTATGCACATAAACATGTTAATCACAACATAGAGGATGTCACATAAGATACCAAAGAAACACCCCACTCATAAAAACTGACAACGTCATATCACAATCGACAGAGGACTAACACAGTCTAAAAAACACTACATAGTAAACTAAAGAATAAGTAACACGGACCTCATTAAAATATGAGGGTGATTTATGGTGCCCCTTTATTGGCAAACAGATGCCTCTCCGTATGTGACACCACTTTTGTTGCTCATGTATTTGCAAAGTCTATTTTCGATCATGTCACAAAAAACCACCGGACTGGTTACGACAACAATGATATGTAAGTTGCCTTAATAATCCAACTGTGCAATGTTATATCTTAGATCATATATTTATAGTATAATCAAATATGCAAACTAGCCATTGTCGTTTTATTAATGTTTAAAGGGCTTCAAACGATTAATATTTAACATGCATGTTAAAAGAATTTAAAGGTTTATTTCATTCTTAAAAAGACCCCTTTATCAAAAGTAAATTTGTTATAAAAAGATGTATAAAGTTCAGATAGCTATTATAACAAAACATAACGGTTTGTTGTATATTTTATTAGTGTTATTAATAAGAGTTGCTACTTCACAGTTTGGTATCTGTATCTGTATCATTCCGGAAATAGAAAGGGTTACTACGTGTCCGGTTTGATAATTACTCTCTATCTTGTTTATTGTCAATGCGGATAGCAAACATTATTTTTGTTGAGAGCAAAATATAACTTCAAAACTCATTATTCGTATTTATTTGTATCCTTAAAACATAAAAGTCCACTAAGGATACAGAAATAAGTTGCCGATGTCGATTACCTTAACAGTAAGACGAGAAAATTTAGTTATTTATATTTTAGTCAAAAGTGTGATTTATTAACGGTATTTGAGCAAATTTAATCTTACCAATATCAGGCTCCGCCATATTTGAATATAAGTAACTTCAATTACTGACAGCCGCTTTCCCCAAGTGTAAACTTATATCCGGCGAGTCAATCGATTAAACATCATGCTTGCCGTTACTACTTATAAGTACATGGAAAACACCAATTCTGGTAATGTTTACGTAGCTACGCAATGAGAACCAAAGGAAGTGAGAGGGGATAGCACTTTTATCTAGGAGTCCGGCACCATCGGGGTATAATTGCAGATCTATGATGTTAAAAATATGCTTAGGTATGTGCACAATTGTATACACAAATTGAAAGTATACAATGTAATCATGGTACGTCAACAATATAAATGTAAAATTCTAATTTCAACTTGAACTGTAGTTTCTGTTTTAAAAACTTACGTGTGTTTCGGTGTATACAAAGTACGAATCCAGATAGTTTATGTTCACTGTCATACGCGAGTAATACTATTGTAGAATAAAGGTTGATTGGAAAAACTGTGCTTATTTACGTCATGAAAAAACAAAATAATTGATTTGCATGTATCTTTTTTAGCACAGTTTCATTATTCATCATTCAATGTACACCAACAGGATAAAAGTCCTAAAGCAGAATCTAGAATATCGATAATTGAAAGCGATTCATTTCAACTATACGTACGATGCATTAAAATCTTCAGTTCGATAATTTTTGATGTTGGATATTTGGAGGTGCGATGAATTTTCATTGTGTTTTAATGTGATAATTGGAAATGAAAAAAATGACAAAATTCATCTGATAACTTTGATATTGATGATA